ACAGTAACTCTGTTCTCAGTCGTCCAAGTGAACAGTCGTCAACTGGCAATAGAGCTTTGCCAATGCTCTAGGAGCACTCCCAAATGCATCACTTCTACCAAACTTCTCATCAGGCAAACTTTATCGTCAACGACGTCAGCGGCGGTGGCTACTGCGGCTTCCTGTTTACTTGCAAAAACACTAACTGCTTCCTTAACAATCTCAACAACAGCCAGGAGGAGGAAAGCGAGCACATTGTGGGCTCATTTGTGCCGGTGGTCTAGGAAAAAGTGTTGCGGGAAAATCTACTGCAGCTGCCCGTGAACAACGTCATCAGCAACGGTGTTCACTCGCGCCCGGACCTTGCTGCCCGTCAATTACCTTTACCTGGAAGAGAGCCTTGCTGACGGCAACGGCGGCGCTCTCCGCCTGGCCGTTTTCTCCCGCAAGTCCATTCCCTCAAAGACGCAAACTGGACCTATTGAGGGCGTCATTACCTCTTTTAAAAATGAGCTGTACTTTTTGTCGCCTACAGCGCCAAGAACTACCTGCACATTTTCATTTTGAAGGCGGTGCTGCTGAACCAAAAAAAACGAGAGTAACTCAAACTGGAAGCGTTTCATCCAGCCGGTCACTAGTCCGCAAGAGCAGAATATTGAGCTGATCACGAAAAAATTCGCCTACACTTAAGAGTGATTAACATTTGTTAGCTGTGCACGCCTACATTTGCGAGGTTTGACGTGACTTGACCACTGTTAACTTCGGTCGACGAGAGACCTGCGAGCAAAACAAAAAGGGTTCGAAAAGATTTTTAAGGTTTTTGTTTTCAAAATTTTTGACGCAAGATTTTTGCTGCAAAATTATTGTTTCGAGATTTTGGCCCGTTAATTTCAGTTGACACTAAAGTAATTGCGAGTTCTTATCGATGCACAGACAAAATCCGCGAGGTTTGTTGTGACTTCTGTTAACTTTTGTTGACGATGGGCCTGCGAGCTAAACGAGCAAGTCTCGAGAAAACAGAAGTTAATAGTGGTCAAGTTACTCGAGAAATTTGCGGCAAAATAATTTAAAAGTCCTAGCGTTGCACGACTGAAATCCACAAAGTTTTAGCAGTGCAATAAAAATAAGCGGCCTTGCGAGGCCGCCCGCCAAAAAGCTCGCTGGAGTCCTGGCCTGCCAGACTTCTCCGTGTTTTTTCCTGCTTTTTTTGCCAGTAATTGTATGTATTTTTTGTATTTTTTACTTAAATTATAACACAACAATGTTTGAGAAAAGTTAGTAGTGAGCGAAGCGAGCTACTGAGCCTTTTTTATTTTAAAAACTGATAAACAGTAAAATGGTTAGTGGCGAGCGAAGCGAGCGTAACTGAGTCCTTGTTAATTCTAAATTTTCATTAGAAAAATATTTTTGTTTGTTTGCAAGTAATTTTTCCATAGTCATTGATTGAAATTCTAACATTTTATTAGAATTATTCAAAATTTTTACTTGATGTTCTGAAAAAAATTGTTTTTAAAAACAATTAATAATTTAAAAACTTACCATAATTATTAATATTGTTGTTTTTATTGTCATCATTTGTTTTTAATCGAAACCACATAAAAAATTGAGATGAATTTGGGGTTAATAATTCTATAAATAATTTCCATGGTGAATCGTTTGTTTTTTCTAGTATTGTTTTAAAATTTATGTTTTTTGCAAATTTAAAAACTTTATCAAATTTGGTTGTTCCATTTTCAATACTTGTTTCAAATTTTTCAATTGTCCAATTGAATTCACCAACTAAATGAATTGATTGCATATAATCAAATAAATCATTGGTAACATTTGTTTTTTCAATCAATTCATTCACTAAATTTAAATTTTGCAAAACATTAAAATTTTCATTATTTACAATGATTCCCTAAAAACAAAAGTTATAAAAAATTTTTCTAAAATTTGTTTTTTTACCTCAACGTTAATAGAAAAATACGTTTCATTTTGAAAATTAAAGTTTTTAAATACATCTGTTTTAATATAATAATTTTTTATTTCTATTTTTGTTGAAAGTTTGTTTGAGTTTTCAACTATTAAATGTAAAATTAAAAAACGTTGTTTTAAACTAAAATTTATTTACTTTGCATACCTTTTAACACATTTTCATGAGAGTCACTTTCAATCCATAAACGGAAAAATATATATTTGTCTGCCCAAATACGAAGAGAAATATAATTTGAGCTTTCATGATCAAAACCATTTGGAAACAGTTCTAATGTGATCCATTTGTTGGGTTCATTTGGAGTTGAAACATCATTATAATTAACTTTAGTTTCAAATTTTGGATGACCTTGAACATGTTTACAAAACCAGTCTAAATTGGGTAATGTCCAGCGATGAGAAAACGGAGATATTTTGTCTTCCATTTTGTTTTACAAAAAAATATTTTAATTAAAACTAAAAAATTTCATTTTAAACAAAATGTTTTAAATTTAACAAAAAAATAAAATTGTGTTTTACAAATGCTTTTTTGTACATTTTTTAGTTTGAAAACCATTAGGAAATTATGGTTATGTTTATGGTTATCTTTTATAAGATAAACGCCTTTTATATTGTTGTTATTAGCAACAATCAAGTATATTACTTTTATCATTTTTCTGTTTAAAATTACGTTTCCTGTTAAACTTTCAAAATTTTTGGCAAATTAGTCAAAATATTTGTTTATTTTTTATGTGGGTTTTTTACATGCAAAATTATTGATTTACACTTTTTGGTTGTTTTCTATTTTAGTATTACTGGTCGGTTGAACGCCAAAATACTGGATCATTGAAAATACAAACGAGGTTTGGGTTAAGATACTGACGGGTGAGTGGGAATTGTTTGCGTTTAGTGGGTATAAATTGTAAATTGCATTTTATTTTGTTTGCTGTTATCTTTAACTACTTAGTGACAAAAACAAGTGTGGCATTCTAAAAAAACGATTGTTGTGCCAATTATCTTGCTAAACTAAAATAACCTATTTAGTTTTTAACAATTTTGAAACTTTAGTAGTTCAACAAATGTAAACAAAATTTAATTTGTTAATTTTTAAACTAAATTAAATTTTAAAACCTTGGTAAACAATTAATAAATACTTAATAATTTTTAGTTAAAACACATTAAAGTTAAAATATAAATAATAAAATTGTGAAATTGTTTTTAACACTAAGGCGAACAAAAATTAGGAAACTTTAATTGTTGGTTTGAGTCCTTGAGTCAATCTTCCTATTTTGCTTTATAAAAACACAAAAATAATAGCTTTAAAAACAAAAGTTGCAAAATGAAAACTCTAATTAAATTGAGTTTTATTTTAATTTTTGTTTCTGTTTTTACAGAGGCAAAACTCAAACTTAATTCAAATTACTTTTTAAATTTGCATATCCAAAAAAGCAAATTTTTCCGCGTTCTTCGAGAACTGCGGGACTTTGGAAATCAAGAGCTGGGCACTATTTTTTCACCTGTAATAACTCTACGCAAACATATTGATTCTTGTTACGATCAAACGGTTGACAACAGAACTGCAAACATTTTTAAGCATAAATTTATGCAAATAGTCAAGATCTATTTTGTAAGCAATTAAAATAAAAAACATTAAGCAAACACTTGTTATTAAACTTTTTTATTTTAGAAAAATCGATTTCACTTGATGAGGAACTTCAGCCCAGAACAGCTCAAAAGGCGCATTTTAATATTTATTGAAAATGTAAAACGCCTTGCCAAGCTGATCAACAAGTGTGTCATTGACAAGAGTCTAGGAAAGAAAACCTCACGCTTAGGACTAACTTCTTTAGCGTACTATGTAATTTTGCTGATTTTATTTTTTATTTGCTTTTGATTACATTGATCAAATATTTATTTTGCTTTAACAAATAGAGCCTAGAAGAGATAAGAACAAAAATTCTAAACTACAACCTTCTTCCACAAGCTAAGAAACTCAAACTGAGAAGCTCGGGCAGTGAAGACGGTGGACAAGAGAAGGAAGTGAACCAAAGTTCCAGCGAGGAGCAGGAGCAGAAGGAGGAGGAAGGAAAGAAACCGAACCAAGACCCACGATGCACAAAAGAAGCTCTTCCAGATGATCAGCCACTTCCTAGCTCGTTTAGCTGGAAGGAGAAGGGCTTTGTCAGCCCGGTTTACGAGCAAGGTTAGAACAACAAAATTAAATGATTTTGCTTTTCAAAAAGTGACATTTTTGTACAACAACAACATTGAAAACAGGCGAGTGCGGAGCGTGCTTCGTATTTTCCTCCACCTCGGCGCTGGAAAGGTAAGAAAAGCTTAAAGCTAAAAAAGTAAACAAAAAAACTTATTCTTTTTGTTTACTTTTTTGTTTTCAGCCAGTACATGATCAGCCGCCAGACGCAAACGCCTCCACACTACAGCGTCCAGGCAACGCTAAACTGCATCACCGGCGGCTGTGGGGGCGGGGCTCCCGCCGAGGTGGACGCCTACTACGTGAAGAAGGGCGCCATGGACGAGGAGAGGGCGCCATACGTGGGCAAGGTGGAGACCTGCCGTTCTGGAGATGAATACCCGGTAGCACTGAAAGCGGACGCCTTCTGCAGCCACGGAGAACTCTCCGAGGAGCAGATGATGAGGCTGCTGGTGCGGCTAGGCCCGGCCAGTGTGGCCATCTCCACCAATGAGGCCTTCTACCTGTTGAAGGGCGAGCCGTGGAATGGCGAGTGTGACATCTCCATTAACCACGCGGTGCTTCTAGGTAAATTGCTTTTTAATCAAAAAAGCCTAAATTAACAATCTTTTTTTTATTTTAGTTGGATATGATGAGAAACACTTTATTCTGAAGAATTCATGGGGTGAGTTGGTCAATTGATTTTACTAAAATTTTTTCATTTTTTTACTTATTTTTCCTTATTTTTTTATTTAGGAAATTCATGGGGCATTGATGGGTATGTTGTAATCATGTATAAAGTGTTTTTCATTTTTACTAAATTTATACTTTTAGGTACCTTTATTTGCCCAGAGGAGGCGAGAATGAAAATAAATGCGGAATAAAGGCAATCTTTTCACAACCAATCGTCAACCCGGTTTAACAAGTAAACAAAATTGAGTTTGATGTAGGACGACTTTCTGTGTGTTAATTATTTTGTTAAAAAGAATGTCATCGTTTTTTGTATTGAAACAACCCAACAATGTCTAAAAACCTTTAAAAGTTTTTAACATTTTAGAGCTAAAAGTTTGTGCATTGATCATTTGCAATCATTGGCAGGACAAACATGACGGACATGATAAACAGCCTGATGCAGCGACTTTTAAATGAAAAATTGTCAACTTGATTTTTATCAATTTTTAGTACACTTCCTCAATCACAATCACAAAAAAACAAATTAATCTCAATCAGCGCCAATCTGCCGCCAAATTCTCCTCAAATCATCGTCGCCAATCGTCTCAGCGGCAATCGTCAGCGTCCGCAGAAGCCGCACATCTTCCCGGTCATTACTGCCAAATTGTATCAAGTTCAAGAAGGAGTACCGGCGGTCAAAGAGCACGCCCATACCGGGAAAAATGGCCCGAGGCAGGCGGAGCCTCTCCGCTAGGATTCCAGTCACGTAGACGTCCTCAAAGGGAAGAGCAGGTATAATGTCAGTCTGGGGGCTGCTGAGCAGCGCCTCGTACAGCGGAAGTGCCAGTGTTCCAGGAACGAGATAGGCACTTGGATGAAAGGCCGGGTAAACAGTGTACGGGTAGTACCACTGATCGATGGCCCACTTGCCCGACCGGAGGACCGGGTCATTGCGGCGATTGAGGCCGTACAGTGCGTCAGTTGAAAGTGCTTTCAACTGGTCAATAAAAGGCTTCACCCGGACGTAGCAGTCATTGTCTAGTTTGAGAATGAATTTGGCCCGGGAGCAGTGCAACGATGTCCACCGCAGGACGGCCAGTGATTTCAGCGTCAGATTGTAGTAACTGTCAGTGAAGGGAAATTGAATGATATCGTTGAACTGACGAGCTTCTTCATATAAACGGCTTTCCAAACTAGGTGTGCAAAAAAGTATATTTGTTAAAAAAAAGTTTCAAAATAGTGTTGTCTAGCCCTTACGATGCATTGTCCATCCGGGCAACGACAAAGTACAGCTCCGTTTGTGGGTGTGCCTTTAGTGCTGATCCAAAGGTCTCTCGGATGGCTTTCCGCCGGCTAAAGTCGCCCACGACGCAGAAGACCAACACGGCGGCCAGCAGCCCTTGGCCCTCATTGCCCCCACAAGGGCGGCGAATGTCTGCAAGAGGTGGCCAGGTCACCGTGGCAATCTCCCGCACCGAGTTCATCTTTGGCCCAGAAAAAGTGTGATTTTTCCTGTCTTCTCTTTGTTGTTTGGATACCAGAGGATGAACGAATGGCTGTTCAGTGTATTCCATTGCCATGGCTCTTAATTTCTGGTCAACTGTGAGGATCCGATGGTGTTTGCTAGTCAATGATATTGTTTGAGTTGTTGTTGTTTGATTCCAAATATGTTTGGAAGTTTTTAATTGAGCAGTATTAAGTTGAGGAGAAGGAGCTGACAACAAGTTGTAAAGGCAGAAAATGACACACTTTAGAAGTGCTGCAGTGATGATAAGGAGAATGATCACAGTTTTAAATTGAGCAGATGTGAGGGCATTTTTAAAAATGTTTTTCATGTTTACTTAAAAACTAACTTGTAAAATTCCTTGTGGAAAAATTTGTTGTGATTAAAAAAAGTTAACATAGATTGCCTGACCTCCCAGGAGATCACTGATTGAGAAAAGCAAAAAATGGCTTTCTTTTCTGACTTTGTTGCCTTCATCACTGGAAGTTGTCTTAAAGTACCCACAATTGGACAGACAAGCTGACTGAAAGATTAATTCAAGTTGTGCATGTACAGTGAAGAAGCACATAAACTGGAAATGAGAAACGAGGACAGTGGGCGGCGCTCAATTCAATTGCCGCTCTTCTGCTACTTCAGCAGCTAATAATAATTCAAAGTGATGAACTGATAAAGTGATAGGAGCAGATTTAACGATTGGAAACAAGAGAATGAGCTTTTGCTGCACAAATGACATTTTTGCAATTTATTTTCAAAAATAAAAAAATAACAATCAGCCAAAATAAAAAAGCTTAAAATGGTGTATTCAAAATTTCGTTTACTCCTATTTCAGCACATTATCCTTAAATGAACCGGGAACATTTCCCGCCGGATAAAAGTTGAGCACTATGTTGACTGTCGACCAGGTGGGGCTGCTGTAGCCAGCCGAGCAGCCGATTCCCACCTTTTCAGAACTCTTCCAAATGATTCGGGTGAAAGGGTCATAGGGAGCGATTTGCTCAGCAGTGGGCTCCTGTTCATAGAGGGGGTAACTTTCACGGCCAAAGATGTTCAGGTAGTTGTTCATGAAGCCTTCGGTGTTGAAGAGGGGGTAAAACTCCGGCCCCTTGACGTCCACCCGCCAATCTCCAAGTATAAGTGCTTCTTTCATGTACTTATTGTTTGGGTCGCTGTCAGTCCCATTTCGCTCTGCCAAATCGTTGGCCCACTTTTGACTGTAATTGCTGATGCCCTGGTCCTCGGTGAGCGCCGGCGCTGAATGCTCTTCTCGAAGATTGTTCAGGTACTTGAGGATGTTCGATTTGAGGTCGTCCGGACATTTGTCCATTGGAACGGTAATTTTGACATCTTCTACCTGCGTGAAAACAACCAAATGATATTTATTCAAAAATGCGCAAACATTTTAACATTTTAAAAAACGTTTTTTACCAGATCTGCAGCATCAGCTAACATTAAACAAGTAACAAGTATTATTGAGAACAGAAACAAAATCATTGAGCGAGTGTCCATTTTAAACAAAATGGTTTTTTACTTTTTGTTTATTTTTACTTTAGCTTTTATGTGCCTTCCTCAAGGTTAATTGCTGCTGTTGCGCGCTTAGCACAATTTAGTTTTTTGTAAAAAAAAGTTTTAAACTGTAGCAAAAGTTGTAATTACTTTTACAAAACAAAGTAAAAATTTAAATGACAGTGCTAAATTGTCTGCTAAAAACTGCTTTATTCACTGATAAAATACTTTTTAAAGTTTATTTTTGAATGTTTAAAATAGGATTTTTGTTTGTTATTTCATTGTCAAGGAAAACCAAAAAGTTGCAAATAAACCAAACTATTACTACTTTTATTCAATGCAAAGTATATTATGTGTTTGTTCAGCAAACCAACTAATTCTATTGACTGAAGATCATCAGCACGTAGGCAAAATAGGTGAAAAGAAACTCCAGCGAGGAGAGGTAGGTGATGGCGTGAAGAGGGCCAACGGTGATGGCCACCTTGGGCCCTCGAACCAGTCGACCGTACAGTTCGGCGTACTTCAGCCGAAGCGTCCACCACCAGGCGCCACTTCCGGTGGTGGAGAGCATCAGCCGGTGAACCAGTTTTTTAGGAGAGTGGTACTGACTCTGACACCAGCTCAGCGGCACAAAGATGCCCGCAAAGACGCCCATCTGAATGGCAAAAATGATGAAGAGGAGAAGCTTCAAGGAAAGGGGCGTCTCCTCCTGGTCACTTCCAGGGCTGACGATCTTCTTCACAAAGACGATGTTGATGGGAATTTGCGTACAAACGGTGGCCAGCACGACATTTCCCCAGAGTTGGCCGCTGCAGCTGACCACCAAATAAGAGATCAGATTGTGCTCGCGCAGGAGACGCTCCAACAGGAGCCGCCCACTGACGGGAATTGTCGGGAGTTTAAAAAAAGACCTCTTTTTTCTAAAGTGAGCATCCAGCACCGCCTTCACCCGGTTCTGCCACTCTCGAAGGTGGCTGGTGAAGACCAACGTCCCGAGGATGGTCATCGTCGTGAAGAGAATCACGTAGCGAATCAGCAGAATGAGAAACACCAGCGGCCAGATCATCTCGTAAACGACCTCGACAATAGAAAGCCAGTGATGGCGGCGCCAGTGCGGGTAGACGACAATGAAAACGGTCATAGCGATCACATACAGTAATACTGTGAAATGAATGGACACAAGTTTAGCAAAAGTTGTAATGGCTAGCAAATAAAAAGACTTGTTTTTCCTCCTCACCAATCATCAGCTGAAAGGCGTAGGCAAAGACCTCGGTGAGCAGCATCACCTTCAACGCCCTCGCTCTGATGCTCCACGAGAGCAGCGGCATCGCCGGAAGTGGGCGTGACTGCAGCTGCTGCACGTCCACGTCTTCCATTCGGTAGGCCATTTCCGCTGAAGCAAAGTTCTTTGCTATGATCTCCTTTGCCTTTAGAGGTATAAGCCGCCCAAGCAAGGGAAAGTATGCCTCCAACTTTTGCTCGTATTTTGCCTGTTTTAAGCTTTTTATGCCCTTCAACTGAGTACTGCCTAGCTTGAAGCGGTAGTAGTCGTCCACAGTGGTCACCGTCATCTGGTACCAGAAACGCCAATTTCGAGGGCAGATATCAAGGCGGAAACACCAAAACTCAAGGAGAAAGTAGGCCACGTCGAAGAAATAGATCATGAGGAAGGTGGTATGGTCAAAGGTGCCGCGGAAAGTGTAGAGGAAGCCGACAATGACGTCGTGGCGGCGGAAATTGTACCAGGGCGCCCAGTCCAGCGGTAGCTGGTAGTCGCTGTACATGAGGTAGGTGGCAAAGAGCATTCGGATTGAGCAGGCGAAGAAAGCGACAATGTCAAAATACTGACGAGTGCCGAGAGCTCGTCGACACTGACCACCTTCCTCTTCTTCCTTTGCCAGCAAGTCCTTGGACATTTTGTAGAAGCAACGACTGAACTTGTCAAAGAAGAACATTTTCTAAATTTTTAGTTTTTTTAAACTTTTAAAAACTAAAACGATGGCAAATGTTTTATGTTGTGTTTTTAAATAAACGGTGTACGGCACACAAAAATTACTTTGAAAGCCTTTGTTTAATTAACTTGTTTTTACAAATCGATTTTTTAATTTTTTTTGTCTAAAAATATTGCTCAAGTGTCAGTCGGTTTTTTTAATGTACAAATTTTATTCTTTTATTTAAATAAAAGAAACCACTTTGTATATTCGATTGAAAGAAATACTAGAACAACTTTTTGTTTTTCTCAATTACTTGTAAATGTTTAGGTTTTTTTTGTTATTTGCGCAATTTTTTTACATTTATAACACTGGCCGTGTAAACTCATGTGACCAGAACCAAACTACTTTTAT